GTAACATATAAATTCTATGTAAAATAGTGTAGTGTGTGTGTGTGGCACGCAAGGAACAAAACACTCTGCCTGTTTAATATAACTCCTCCGCTCTATACATATCTTTAACCCACTCATTTTTCAGTGCAGAAATAAAAGCTGGATATCCTCCACCTGCATATCATCAAGCAATTAGGTTAGTTTGTCCATCTTTCACTTTAATGTTACATTCGACAGGCAGCAATAGGATAATCAAGACGTGTCAGATGACAGCGCGACCCCACAGGCAGACAGTCATCCTCTTTTCTCCCTCTATACCTCATAAATTTTATTCAGCATTGATTTCCACACCAATCTATCAGCCTGACAGCTGCTCTCCCTCCCCCTCTGATTTAACTCCAGACTTTGTGTCAGACTTTTATCTCATTTCCTCCTTGCTCTGTTTGTCTGTGAATATTCATAATCACTTAATCCATAACAACACCTTTTTTTAAACAGTGGATCTCCCATGCACCCTTGCCAAAACACACACACAGGACTCTCTGTCTGGTTGCCTGCTCACTGACCTGTGAGAAGTTCAGTCCATTCAGGGGATGGCACTGTTCCTCCACCCTCTCCACAGCACCTGTCTGCTTTCCGAGACGCTCGGCTTCCTGCGCCAAGAACAGGTCGAGCACCGGAGTTCCCCGCGACCGCACATCTGCTTCCGTCAGCGAGTTCACCATCAGCATCACCCATACGGGCCTCTTGCGTTCCCAGTTCCCTGTGATGGCATTGAAGAGGTAGTCGGCATAAAGTCCCCGGCCACGTTGGTCTGCCGTCATCCAGAAGGGCATCATGTGTTTGACATAGTCCAGGTGGCGCTTGAGTCGGCGGTACAGATCACGCGGCAATAACGTCTGGAGGTTTTCTCCGTTGGGCAGAAGCTGGCAGCTAGTGAGTTTTGAGATGGTTAGGGGATCTGTGAGATCCAGTTCAAAGAACACATTGGTGCTGCTCTGGAAGGCCCGTTTCGAACTCTCGGGGATGTAGTCCCAGACTCGAGTGTATGGGACGTGGATTGTCCCAAAGAGATAGGACGGAGCGTAAGGAGGAGGCCGTTTCACGGTCCACAGGAAGGAGTTCATGTCTTTCTGCTTGATAAGGAAAAACGAAGAGGAGATTTTAGGGTCAAAGGGTCAAACATCAGACTGAAAGAAATACATCAGTGTTACAACTCAAATAACTTCATATTGAGAAGATTAGCTTATATATTTGGTAAATATCAAGAAATCATAATAAACTGCATAAAGCAGACTGATGAAGTGTTAGACACTGATACAACAATCTCAAACTGAATTCCACACGTCACAGGCATTCATATGCATCAACGTTTTCCTTATTCGAAGTCAAACCGAGGGAAAAAAAGCACCGTATAGTAGTTGTGTCACAGAGGACTCGGTTCATGCCAGTGCACTGATAGAGCTGGCATATTAAATCTGTGGTGGAAATGTTTAACTGGGGTTCTTAGTTTACAGTGTGTCTCTCCTCGTAAAAAGAGCCTTTACACTCGGCAGCGCTGCAAACCTCTGCTGTTCTGCACCCTCTGAAACTTTAAAGTATTTACTAGTTGCTGAGGCTGTCAATAGCTGTGCCCTTGTAAAATGTAACCTTCAATGAACAACTCACTCTTAAACGGTCAACCTTTCAATTTAATGAATTGTTCAACCACCTCAGATCAGGAAAAAGCAGTTGAGAGTTTATTAACTACGAGTCAGAGCTGATGTTAATGAGAGCAGAAAGAATTGCAAGTGATGTTTGACTATTTTTCCCCCCAGATATCTTATGCTTACTTACATTAAGAAATTCTGTTCATACAGAAATTATTTGAATACAACTCCTCTATGATTATTTTTGAATTAATGTCATTTTAATATATTTGTCAGGGTGTAACATGCAGAATATCATTTTGCTGTCATGTGAAAAAAGAGAGGATACCTTTATTTCATGATGTGTGTGTAGTATATACACATATGTTTTGTGTATAGAATTACCTTAAAATTCATTTGAAAACTTTTTTAAAGTAAATATTTTGAAAATAAGGACTTCACAAAGGGTTTTAGTACTTTTTCCTTGATGGTTACACCACGTGACATTTTAGGCTCATAAACTCAAAATATATATATATTGTTAAATGGTATAATGTGTTTCAAGAATGCATGAAACCAACATATAATACAACGTTTAGATTGTATTTTTAAGAACTTGGCACGTATTGACACTAGCTTTTTAAATTAATATTACTTTTTTTTAATCGAACATCCTTATTTCTCATTGATTTTAATGTGCATCGACAAACTGCAGTTATTTATTTCTTTGTATTTTTTAGCTCTTAACGCCTAAATGGCTACATGTGTTCGCGACTGCTCATGTCTTCATATTGTATTTGGACACCTGTGGAAATGGCTCGAACACTGACCAGCTTTACTGGAGAGAAGCTTATACACTAAAGTAATATATTCTGTATGAGCAAGTCACATTCACAGACCCTCTGCTCTGTTTTATGGAGTAATTTCTTAACCAAAAACAGGCCTCGCAGTACTCGCGCATTATGAATTACTTTAAGAATGCACAGGTCATGTCCTGGACAATGGGACCATTAATGATATAAATCTACAGGAAAAGATAAACAGTAATTGTCAAAAACAAATAGAAAGGTAGAACGTTTACGTACATAATGCATTAAATTTCGTCTTATATTTAACAAAGACTTTGCATTTCTGCCTAAAAATACACAAAAGCTGCGTTGAATGAGTGAAGAACCTATCTCTTTTAAAACTTGGGATAGTCGATATTACATATGTTTGATGGAATATAATGTATCTCTCCTCCTCTACCGATGATGAATCCTCTCCTCCACACACTGTTTGGCTCAGATGAAAGCGAGGCATTAATTGCGTTAAATAGCCTAGCGCACTTGCCAAATCATAATGAAGTAAATATGCTCGATAACTACTTTAACAGTTCTCGTCTCAATGAAACTTGATCAGTTTATGGGGGTCAGTGATTTTTTTTTCCATATAAACGCATTTGAAGTCTATTCACCCGTGGGGCTTCCCCCTTTTTCCTTTGACACATAAACTGGCACTGCACTGGCAAGACTTTAGCAGTATTTCACTTGGCACAAAAATTCATTTTTCTGGCCCAGATTTCTATAATTACATGACAAGAAGTGACACGCGGCTGGCTGGACGCCACTAAATAACTTGTTTTCAAATAGATGTTCCGTTATTGCTCAATTGATTACTGAAATGCAACAAATATAATAATTATATTAAAATATTTGTCTTTGTAGCAAATATAATGTCACTATAAAATGTCTAATGCCTATTAAGATTTGCATTATAACTAGGCTATTGTTAATGATATGAAGAACAAGATCATGCATAATAATTAAATAAGAAACGAAAACGCCACTGAACCTCACAGCAAAAGTAGTTAATGTTTTATTTTAAAATAGACATTTTTAAAAAAGTTTGAATTTGTTGCTAAATGTAGGCTATACCTATTTTAGTGGACAGACCGTTATGTTTAGAATAAATTGTAGTCTGAGGAAAAAGATCGTGCAGATATATATATTTTTTTACCTTTTTTCATTTTAACCTTTTTTCCTTTAATTGTATCCAACTAAAAAAATCATAATAGTTAAACTGAACTTTTATCAAGCATTACAACCATTCTAATGATTTCGACTCACAGTGTTTGAATTGAATTGTTTCAGTTGTTGGTAATAAAAGCAACTCTTTCAAATAGCCCGCATCAGCAGCGGAGAAGATCAAACAGCGAACCAATCTCCAATAATTATATCATGCACGATAGATCTTGATGACATGCCATTTACGAGCTTCTGCAAAGGTGCGTGCAGTGCGCGCGAAGCAACTTCACAAAGTGCGCACTAGGCAAACTCACCGATACGGGCTTGTCACATTTCTGCGTGCTCTGGTGCGTGTCCCGGGGTGAGCCCACTTGAAAGAAAGCGCATAAAGTTACCAACCATCGCAGTCCCGAGTGACAGTTCATTTCGAGATGAGAGGGCACAGGACACCTCACGCTTCCCTCAGCTCCGTTACCTCTGTTGTTTAAAAGTTGTTCCTGGCTTCACAGCACAAATCAAATGTTTTCCGCCGGTGAAGATTGTGGGCTCACATTTGCCGTCTCGAAATGAAAACATTCTGCCCCTCCGCCATTCTCCTGTCCCAGACTTTCAAAGGGATTCGTGTTGTCTCCTGCCTCTCTCTCTTTCTCTCTTTCGCTCTCTCTCACTCTCTTCAGCTGCCCAGCTGTGGAGAGCACAAACTCTACGCTGCGCCCCTCAAGTTTCCAGTTTAACTGTGCAGAGAACGTGAACGCCTTGAATGTTTCCCCCTCTGCTTGTTAAGAGGAGGGGAGAACAGGTTCTTTCGGAGGACGAGAGTTTAAGATTTCGACGGTCATGGAACAGAGCACTGGTCTACAATGATCACTGAAAAAATACACTGGCTATTAGATGGATGATGACTTTTAATTAGATGTATTAAGACTGTAAAAAAATACGGTTAAATTTACTGTAAAACTGAGATCTGTAGTGCTATAATGTTTAGTAGCTCTGTATAATGTTTAGTAGGCCTACTATAATGTTACTACATATAAATTTGTCCTGAAAAATATAGCCTACTAATAACCACTGTAATATTACAGGTGGTACAGTAAATGATCATACCACATGATGAACAATTACTAAAAATGTATAGGCAGAGCACAGTGTTATTCACACAAAAACACCATAGTGGTAAACCACAGGACAGTGCATAATGCAATAAGTATTAACTAAACAACATAAAGTGTAACATAGATGTACTGATTTAAAAAAGAAAAAAGTACTTTGACGAATAGAATGTGATGTGTCCTGCAGGGACTTCAGGGAATGTTTTGCTGTGTTTCATCTAAATTATAACTTATATTTTTTTTCTACCTGTAAATGTGCATGTATTATCTTGGTAAACATACTTTTTAACTGTAAAATATATTTTAAGTCATACTTTTTTAGTTCCATAAAAATTTTACAGTAAAATTGCATGGCCATTTTATCCATAAAAGTAATTGATCAATATGTTAAGGTAACTTTATAGCTATATAGGCTAAATTGTTTTTCTAATTAAACGGAAAACATTTTACATCTATTTTAGTGAGTCAAAATAATCCGACAGTCAACAGCAGTTCCTATAAGATAACTTTTTTCCTTAGATTTTCCCACACAGTACAAACTGATGCTTTCTGCATTAATTTGTTTGCTGTTTTTGTAAAAATGTGAAGCATTCTGTAGCCTATAGAAGGCACGCCATCAGGTCTTTTAACGCTTAAATATTTCATTTCTGGCATATTGTACCTTTTACCCTCAATTAATCACTGTCACCGTCTATTTGACAGTAATGCGCCGTGGCCATTGACTCTAATCATTTTTGCATTGACGTGTTCTTGATCGCAGTCATAGCTATGATTAATGAATCTAAGCATTGTAGGAAGTAATGCCTGCAAAAATATATTTTAAGTTTGTTTTTCATTCCAGGTCTCGTTAAGGATGTGTAATTCTGGCTAGTACCACTGAAGAATGACTGGCGGTGCTGAAAGCCAGTTGTCGTTTTTCCGCGGTGCCAGCTCTGGTGCCGTGACCCGTGTTATTGTCCGAGTGGACGGCCGAGTGACAGTGTCAAGTAGTGGGCAATTAATCATAGGGATCCTTCAAAACGAGTGCTACATAGAGCTCCGCTGGTGACAGCAGAAAGGGTCAACACAAGAGCCCCTTTGTGTTTCCATCACGTCTCATTCTCCAGACTCTCCACAGGTCTTGCATGAGGCTCCAACGCGGGCGTACTTGCTCTTACCTACTGTATATTTTCTGTCGGCTCAGTGATTACACCACACTGATTACAGCCTTATATTTGTTTATGTGAGTGCGAGCCTGCTCAACAAGGGCTTGATGATGTGCAGTGTCAGTAAGTTTTAAAGCAGCACGTTTCAATCACAAGTGTTGATGAACGATTAAATTATATATCTGGTTACAGTTTAATGAATGGCTCAAGCTAAAATGCCCTTCCTCGCAGTTTCCCCTGCGTGCTGTAGTATAGTAAGAGATTCACCGAGAATCAGTTTTCCGTCTGAATGATAGATAATCCCGTGTAATTGTGTTATTCTACGGCTCATTGACCGTATGTGCCGTTTAGCGGGTTTATTTGACTGTTACTCTCGTGGAGATCCCACATCTGCCTTCTCTCATTATGTGTGTTCTGTTATTGAGGGCTTTTCCCTTCGTGCTTGTCTTCTGTTTCACCTGTGCGCCACCTGCAGATGCACTTACCTGTTGAAACCATGCCTTGCAAGAGTTCGGGGTCTGAGGATGATTTTCACATTCTTGGTTGGTGAGTGCGCAAAGCTTGTGACAGAATAGGCCTAGGCCTATTCCTGGATCTGCTCCAGAACTTGAAGCACATATAGCCTATATATATTTTGCACTCGGATAGTGGAAATAAAACAGTTGAAAGTTAATGTTCTGGTTGTTTCTTTAATGGATGCCTTGGGACGCATACGCTCAAGAGCTTGTATGTGTTTTTTCTTAAAGGGCGCACATACGGTCGCACTGTCATAGTCTGTATCTGCATTCATTCACCTCATCGTCAGACTGAACTCTTCAATTAAACGTTCAACCAAACAAACAACTTGACAGACCAGTCTGTGCTCTCATATGCCATCAAGCTGCTTTTGAGATGGAGTGGGTAATGTCTTTCACCTCAAGGTTCCTCAAAACGTGTGTTTTTGTGTTCCTGAGACCGAGAACTGACACTTTGATGTTTCACAGCGCACCCCCGAATGAGCTCATGATTCATGATTGAATCAAGATGAAATCTCTCCATATATATTTAAAGGGTTTTTGTTTTACCTCCTTTGTTAAAGAGGACTTTTTTTTTTGAGCTTGTGCTCTTTTTTTGTGCATTACTGGCTTTGTCCATACCTGTGACAGTTTAACTTGTTTATCTTTAAAACGGCGCCATCTATTGCCCATTCACAGTATTACAAGAGGATGTGAGCGCAGACTAAAGTCATTGTGCTGCTCTCTGTAACCTAAGACGAAGTCAAACAAAAGGGAAAGTTCCCAGTGAGAGGGGTGAAAATTAAAACAACCTAGCTCGAACCGTGCAGATGTTTGCTCATCCTGACATCCTGGCATGATACAATACTGTAATAATAACTTTTAAATTGTCCCCTAAACCCAAAATAATACAGCTTTTTTGTAAATACTGAGGTATTGTTGTGGTTTATGGTGCTCTGGATTTCCTAAGACAGTTGGGGGCAAAGAGGTCCTCATAGAAGGTGGTTTCAAGTGTCATTCAGGGGTCAGTAGACCATGAGTCGAATGAACTAGTAATAAACCAGCCTGTGGAAAAAATGTGCACTTAAATGGGTTTAAGATTTCACAACCTTCATACCAAAACATGAAGAACTTGTGTAGTTTTGACAGCAAAGTGTAGCAAACTACAAAAACAATAAAGGAGAACGACTCTTTTACGACTGCTCGAATCATCTGTTGTGCGGCGCTTTCCTGGCGTGTGCTCACACGCAGACAAAGACTTTCAGGATATCTCATGAATCAGTATGAGAGAGATGGAGAGAAGGAGTGAAAGTGAGAGGTGGGGGGAGGTGGAGAGATTCAGATGATGATAAGATTGGAAGGCGACAGAAGGATGGTTGTTCGCTTTCAGTGAGACTGTGATGGAATTTCTTACAGATCGAATTCGACAGTGTTGCTGCTTCCAGGGAATATCGGAAACTGAGGATGGAATTGTTTAGCTTCGTTTGTTTGATGTTGGAAGAGGCTTAACTGGCTTGTTAGTGTATGTATGCAGGAGAGAGAGTGGAAAAAGAGTGTTTCTGTGCACATTTCGGTGTTCATAACCTCAGAAGACACTGAACAATCACATCAAAGAGCTTGCAAACAAAGGCTTCCCATAATGCAACCCTGCTTTCTTTTTAGATCAGAGATTATATGTGTAATTGCTTGATGATCTGTGGGGGACCCCTGCTATGGCTTCATCTGTTACTGGGGTCTCTCGGTGTTACAGTCTGAATAGACTGAATAACGGCATCTTTTCATGACGCAACTGTACAATGAGATCCAAAAGGACTACTGGTTAAAGATTGTGGTGGTTTAATATAGTGAGACCTGGAAGTCTGGATTTGAACAAAAGAAATCATAATATTATGGAAATAACAACCTGGCCATCATTGTCAGGCAGCAGTTCATTCACATTCACCACAAATCGGCTTATCTTTGTCCAAGAGATGCTCACGCATAGCAAACTGGCAACAGGGATCCAGAATTTCCCACAGAGACAGAGGTACTCCATACTGAAGCCGGTGTAAATCACATATTCTCCGACCGTGTAGCCTAATTATAGGGTTTGCAAGAGCACTTAATCTGACCAAAGCAGGCAAACATTTATTGTCATAAATTTGCCAATCACAATGTTCTGACACACCGTTAGATGTAGTGTATCATCTTCTGTTTAAAATGTACTTATGTGTGTGTGTTTGAGACAGAAATAGGTGGGGGGTGGCCAGAGAGCTGCCTAAGAAAATACAGAGAGGCCTGTTTCCTGGCTGCAGCGTACTGTGTGGGGTTTTATGAGTGGTGAAATCTTAACCATGTTTATCTAGCATTTTTCCAGTATTCTTAAAGAACATCTTAGTTTCTTGACCTGGATTACTTGTCAGATTTGGAAATGTTTTGGCATTGGGTGGATGCTGTTTGTGTACTTGGTTAACAAGGAAGCCTAGTCTTTTTAAATCAATAATGAATACATTTAGATATTATTTTTTATGAATGCTGTTCACAGTGGACAATATTCAAATACTAAAATGTAAAAAAAAAAATTTATTATTATTAATCCAGGTAATTACTTACAGAACATCATCTTGTCTGCAAAGTTTTGCACAAAAATCTTTCTGTTTTACAAAGTTTTATTTAAAAAATGCATAAATCAAAATAGACAACTTATCATTATTTTTTTTATTATTAACAAATATTCTTATTTGTAAAAAATGTTGTCATATACATTTTTACGTAAAATATTTGAAATATTCTTGTAAAACAGAGACAGAATTTTTTACTTT